CGAGCCACAGAATTCGTTTTGGCATCGTTGGATAGAGAATTGAAAAGCCGATTCAGTCGTAACAACATGAGTGAGGAAATTCGAGTAGTTTTGACCCAGAAAGCGAAATATGAATAGCAAACACTTAGGTGCAAGATTATGCCAAAATTTCATGTTTTCCGTTCCATTTTTGCTCATATCTCGGAGGCAAAATGAGCAAGAACGCTAATTTTTACATCATTCTAGAGAGAAATAAATGACCTTTTGAGAAAGTGAACCATCGAGTTGCAAATGTTGACAGTTTTCTCAAAAAATACTTGAATTGAAGAAGTTTTAGATTTGCGCGGGGTTTCCCAGAAGGATTCCTCCGAATCGCGATCACAAATCTTGATATGGTCTTCAAATTTCATCTAGCCTTGGCACGTTTATTGGAGCTTCAAACCATGTTATTCTCGTCTGAGTTTTTCAACTGATGCGGAGCGAAACAACCAGGAAACTAATAGCAATTTAAGATCGTAAACATTGTGAAAAAACGCTGAACATTAAGTCAGACCGATCAATTTATGTGGGTAGATCGTATCGTTGGAACGCACCACGATTTAGCCCAGACCTGCTGGTCATGGTGGTCAGGGTCATCATCAGGAATATTTTAAAATGCGGAATTCCCTTGAAATGTGACTCACGTATGGGTTAAGTGAAGGATATGCGACTGATTCAGAGCATTTGCCTTCATATTCCTGCTGCCTGATCATTATTGGTTCTTTGAACATATCGGCAGCACAAATTAGATAATAACCAGCAACTTTCATCGACTAAAAATAACCTCGCTGATCAAAAACGAGAATTGCAAGCATAAAATGCTAATTACACTGATTTATGGTTTTTAGCGCTACTATGAACTTAATAATTAACAACTGGCAGGTTCATTGTTGCTCTGAAGCGTGGCGGATCGGCGTGGCGAATGAACACATTCATTTTTGCTTAAACTAATGAACCTTGCAAACTGCAAGAGATCAGCAACCAATAAGTTTTTCAACCTCAACCTTGCGATTTCATTCTAGACCCCCAAGATGCCGACAGTTCTCCCACATATTCTCCTCCTCACTACCCTCACCCTGACATGGGCCTTACCACAAGGCGCCCCAAACTCTGAGCAAGTTTGCCACACCATGACGCCCTACCATGGAGGAGGAATTCGACCGCAGGGGGGCATTAGCCCCTATGAGGTCCACCCTAGACGCCTCGGAGGGCGTGTTATGATAACAGTCACCTCAGGCCTGGGGATACCATTTCAGGGCTTCTTGATGCAGGGCCGCACCCCTGATGGGTAAGCAATCACGATCCAATCAAAGATTCGTGCGAAAAACAACTGGGGTTGCAGGCAGGTGCTTGGCCAGTTCGATTCTGCCTCGATCAACGAAGGCCATCCGCTGGACTGCCACGATCCTGCTGATTCTATAACGCATAACTCGCCCAGCGATAAGAATAGCATAGAAGTGCAATGGGCGCCGCCACCCGGCTTTGAAGGACCCGTCGTGTTCAAGTAAGTTCTTAAGTTCTTAAGTAGGGTTCTTAAGTAGAGACTTAAGGTTATGCTTAGCGTTAAGTTCGAGC